CCCTTCTCCTCACTCGGACCTCAGCTCATAGATGACCGCCTGGGGCAGTCTCCTTTCACCACCCCTTCCGAAGCCCTCCCCTCTCTCCCCCCCTACGCTGCCGCATACAGTAACCAATAACCACATGGGGCTGTTTAATGTGTAATTAATTAATTAACAAATTAATTAGGACACTATTTAAAATTCAGTTCCTCGGCCACACGAGCCACATTTCAAGTGCTCAGTAGCCACATGCTGGCTACTAATATTGGACAATGCAGATACATACATGCTGCTGAAGCGAGCACTGGACAATGCAGATATAGAACATTTCACGGAAATTCTACTGGACAGCACTGCTCGTACATTTTATTATCTTCTTAGTATTTATCACTATTTGAACCTTTATTCGTTTACTTATTTGTTGTCTGCCTTCCCCTCCTAGAACATAAATTGAAGACAAGGAGTACGATCCTCTTTTTTACCACTGCATCCCCAGTGTTTAGTATAATAGCTAACATATCTCTGAACTAGACATTCAAGAAATACTCACTGGGAAGGTATTTTTTGAACACCTGCCAAGATTAGGATTAGTTGTCCTCTATCAGAGGACAGAGGCCACCCTGAGACTCTCTTGTCCATCTGGGAGGAAACGGACCTGACTGTCCTCCGAGTGTTGTGTGATGGCACTGGTACCTTCCTCTGCCAGTTCCCTCCACGACTCCCCACCCCCAGCTCAGCCGCAGGGGAGAACTTCACCTGCCTTGTGCCCCCTGGTGGGGGCGGGGGGGGAGTCCCAGGGGAGCCACGGAAGGTTTTATTCACTTCAGGAAAAAGACTCTCCCTGGACCTGGGAAAGGCAGAGCAGGGCATGGGAGCAGGTAGAGAGGGGCTGCCCAGGGCAGGGCGAAGAGCAGGAAGAACAGTGACCCACCGACCTGGGAGTTTTAAATGTGCCTGAGATACCCCTCAACAGAGAACCACCATCCCGCCCCCTCCTCCCTTCCATACCTTGGGCTTTGCTTTGGCCTGCCTTGTAAGTTTCCCAGTAAAAGTTTACTTGAAAAAGTTCAGCTTTGTCCCCGATGACTTGAAAGGTAGAAATGTGAGTGGGGCATACTCTGGGATCAGGGACACCTGGGTTCCAATCCTAGCTCTGAAGCTCTGTGAACTTGACAACTGGACTCTTCAAAACTGTTTTCCCTCCTGTAGGTTGAGGGATTTAAACAAGATGGTGCAGGTGCAAGGCATAGCATGGTCCCTGGCACACTGTAGGTGTTTTGTGATTGATAATTCTCTTTTTTCCTTTTTCTCGCTATCTTGGGTCCAAAGACCCAGAAGAGTAGATGACCCTTGAAGAGAGCAACTCTGTCAACCAGAGAAACTGAGAAGAGCTTCGAGCTAGAATAGAAAGATAAAAATGCCAAAAATCACGGAGAAACAGAGAGAGGTGGAATTCAGAAAGGGTTCAGAAGGACTAGCTGAGGCTGCAGCCCTTCCTGCCCTTGGCTTTTCCGTCTGAGACCAGGTCTAGTGCATGTTACCAAGGATAAGAAACAGCTCCATGAGTGACCTCTCGGTCAAGCACTGCAGAAGATACTGTCCTTTTTAAATATTCAAATCTGCAGGGAACCAAGAGGGCTGAGGGCTCTGAGTTCCCTCCAGGACCCCTGGGCTCAAGAGTCCCCCAAAACATAATTGCCCTGTGGCCAGACTGACCAGATTCTGAGAGCCACATAACCTCCCTGCTTGTCTGAACTCAAGGAAGACCCGTGTCTGTTCAGGCTCCTCTCCTGAAGACCCGTGTCTGTTCGGGCTCCTCTCCTGAAGACGCATGTCTGTTCGGGCTCCTAAGTTTGCTTGGCCGTGTTGCTTTTCCTCCACTGTTACTTAGATTCTGATTTTCTGTTCTTGGGTTAATGGATATTTGTTTTGCTGAACCGATGAGCCTTTTGTAAGTCTTCTATCCTTTGAAGGAGGAGGGGGCAAACAAAGAAGCGAGGGCTAGCTCTCCATCTGTGGGACATTCTTTCTTATCCAACGGATAAAGGGAATACAAAGAAAGGGAAATGAGGGGGGGGGGCAAGTTGGGGGATGGACAAGGCAACCAGCAGCTGTCAACACCAGACACACAGCTGGGGAGGAGCAGGGCTGCTCTACAAATCCAGGAGTGTATGGCCAATGCCTAAGGAACAGAAGCAGCTTCTACGCTCGGGTTGTGGGTCTCCCAGAGTGGGGAAGGGGTCTCAGAGGAAAGGAGGATCTTACGGAGAAGAGCAGACCTGGTTCATCAGACCAAGCGCCAGGTGCCAAGAGCCTGTTAGCGCTCTGGGACCCAACTCCAAGTCAGTGCTCCGGGCGCCATCCAGTGGCCGCTAGGGAGACTGCAGGAGGAAAGAGCTGGCGAGGAAGGAAAAGCCAGAGAAGGCAGTGCTGGCCGGTTCTGGGCAGGAGGGAAGGAGGGAGCCGCTCTTTGCCCTCAGTGCTCCCCTCATCAGTTGAGGACTCGCTCCTAATCAAACTCCCCAGGCCGCTGCCTCACCCGGCTGGGGTTCTTTCACTGCGTGACCCTGGGCAGGCAATTCTGCCCTCTACACCTGGTGTGCCGATGAGGTAACATGCCAGGCACCTTGCTTAGCACTTCAGCTCACCTGCCGTTCCTGTGTGGGGAAGATCTCAGTCACCCTGCTCCCCCATACTCCAGTCACTCCTGACCACACACATTCATGCCCAGCAGGAACTCCAGCCATGGACTAGGTCTGGGCTCCTGGGCTCCTCCTCCAGGACCTCTCCCTGCTTACCTGCCCTTACCCACCTGTTCCACACCTGAAGGTCCCTCCTTCTGCTCCAGCAATAGTCAGGTGCACCTCACCCCCTCAGCCCTGAGCTACCCGCCCACCTCCCCTGCCATGGGCTTTTCTCACTTATGTTTCTCCCTCTTCAAGCCTAGCAAGGTGCCAGGCGTAGACATGCTTCAGAGGTCTGCTCTGAGGTCAGGCTGTGGGGCTTCAGACCCATGTGTCGGCAGAATAACGCCCCCCCCCAAAGAGGTCCACACTCTAATCTCTGGAACATGTGAATATGTCACCTTACGTGGCAAAGGGATTTTGCAGCTGTGATGAAGTCAGAGACTGAGATGGGGAGATTAGCGTGGATTATCTGGGTCAGCCCAGTATAATCACAAGCATCCTTGTAAAGCGGAGACAGGAGGGTCAGAGTCACAGAAGGAGGTGTGACGCCAGAAGGAGAGGTGGAGGTGACACCAGGCCACAAACCAAGGAAATTGGGTAGGCTCTAGGAGCTGGAAAAGGCAAGAAGACAGAAGCTTTCGGAAGTAGTGCAACCCTGCCAGCCCCTTTTGTTGGACTTCTGACCTCCAGAACTATAAGGTAATGAATGTGTGTCGTGTAAAGCCACTGAATTTGTGACAATTTTGTCCCAGCAGCCATAGGAAACTGGTTCTGCTTCTTACTAGTTCTGCGACCTTGGGACACTTACTTCACCTCCCTTTGCCTCAGTTTCCTCCCTGTAAAATGGGGATGAGAAAGGCAATCATTCCTACCTCATAAGGTTGTCTGAGGATAAAATGAAAACATTTGCAAATCACTTGGAGTAACGCCCAAGACAAAATATGTTAACTATTATTATAAGATTAATAGCTACCGTTCATTGAGGGCCTAATAAGTACCAGGCACAGTTCAGATGCCTTGGAATAACTTTCTCCATTCTCACCATCACACTTGGGGGTAACAGTTTCAATCCCCATTTTACAGATAAGGAAACAAACCCAGAGTAATTGGCCAAAACCTAGAGAAATTGAGTATTTTAATCTTAGCAATTTCTTACATGCACTTGGGCTCTTTCCTGATAGAGGGGTTGGCTTTTGCTTTTGTTTTTGTTTCGGAGGGTGCGGGGGGGGGGTGGTGAAGAGGGTGGGTCACAGCCTGAGCGGCAGCGCTGGCCACAAAGCCTGACCTCCTCTTCTTCCTTCATAGCGCAGGAGGGACATAAAATCCAGGCGACACTCACCTATCCGCCCCCACCCCGTCCATTTAGGGGTTCATGACTGTCTCTCCCTTCCTCACCAACTCCCTGACCCAGTTCTAGCAGCTTTTCAGCCCGATCTGGGGGGCACCACGAGATAGGCACGGCCAGAGAGCGAAGCGCTACATCCTCCGGGGGATGGAGGGGCGCAGTCTTGCTCAAACCCCGAGGGTTCGCGCTGAGCCCCCTCCCTTCCCGCAGCCCGCATAAGGAGCCGTCTGTTCGCGGCTGAATAAACAAGGGGGGAAAGCAGCGCCTGGCCCCCTGCCCCCCAGCCCGACCCCCGCACAATGCGCCTTTCTCCGAGGAGCCGCCGTCCGGGCGCCTCGGGAGCGCCCGGCGTCTGGCCTCCCCTCCCCGTGGCGGCACAGCAAGACCCACAAACCGACCCCGTGGAAACCAAAAAAAAGAAAAAAAATTTTTTTAAGAAAATGAAAACAAAAAGGAAATCCAACAAAGAACTGAGCGCAGCACGCAGCGAGGGCGTGCGGACCTAGCGCGCCCCTCGGTCCCCCCGCAGTCCGGCTTCTGGTCCAGGCGAGGCCAGCTCGAGCGCAGCGCTGGGAGCCCGCCAGCGCGCCCTCCCCGACAGCCCAAGTCCTCGGGGCCCCGGAGCTGCCCGGCCCCGGCGCCCCGACGGCGCCCCGAGGGCACAGTCCACGGGGCCGCTCCCCTGCCCGGCTCCCGGTCCCGGCGGCCCTCACTTCTGGGTGGCCAGCTGGTTCTCCAGATCCTCCAGGCGCGCCGTCAGCTGGGCCAGTGAGCAGTTAAGGAAGCCGCTGGGGGTCTCGGGGGTTCCTACACCCCACCCCCACCCCCAGCCCGGGCCCCTGGGCCGCGGGGCCCAAAGGATATGGTTCTGCGTCAGCCTCTCGAGCGCCCCCAGCGTGCGGCCCTGGAACTCCACGAGGCTTTCGCATTCGCACGGGCTCCGAAGCTCTGTACCTGGGCCGATGCCCTCCTCTGCCAGCCGGGCGCAGAGAGTCAGGGGAATGAGAATCTGCAGGAGGGGCGAGCGGGCCCTGGCAAGGCCCTCCGCCCCTCCACCCGCCTGTGGCTGAGTATGTGGGCTTCGCATTCAAACAGACCTGGGATGAATACCAGCTAGGTCGCTGTGAGATACTGAAAAACTCACTCAACCTTTCTAAGCCTGAGTTTCCTTGTCTGGAAAAACGGATACAATGAGAAAAGCTATTCATTGGGTGGTGCTGGGGATTCTATGGGGTGTGTGTGAGAGAGAGAGAGAGAGTGTGTGTGTGTGTGTGTGTACACATCTTAGAAGAGTATTTCTCAAACCTTAGTGCTCACTGGAATCACCAGATCTTGTTAAAATATAGATTCTGATTCTGAATGGTGAAGGAGCTGAGACTCCACGTTTCTAATAAGCTACCAAGTGATGCTGACGCTGCTGGTCTGTGGACCACACTTTGAGATGCAAGGGTCCAAATGACAGCAGCACTCTCCAGGTGAAACTTCAGGCAGTGATGGCAATATTCTGTTGCTGGTCTGTCCAGTGCCAAAAACACAAGCCATATGCAGCTATTTAACATTTGAAATGTGGCTAATGTGATTAAAGAACTAAAATTTTTAACTTTTTAAAAGTAATTTAAATTAAGTGGGCACATGTACCTTATTAGAGAGGGAAGATCTAGTGTACTACTTAGCTCAAGTATACACTTTATTGTGTGTTTCAACTAGACCAGTAATTCTCAAAGTGTGGTCCCTGGGCCAGCACCATCACTATCACTTAGGAAGTTATTAGAAATGCAAATTATCAGACTCAAGCTCAGACCTACTGAATCAGAAACTCTGGGGTTGGAGCCCAGCAAATGGTGTTTTAACAAACCCTCCTGGGTGAATCTGATGCACCCTGATGTTTAAAAACCACTGGTACAAACAAACAAAAAAACCACTGATCCAAGTTTACCTCCACACACATTCTAGCATTTCTGAAATCAAAATATGTGCCTTACAATTAAATTTGGCACCTATTTTTTCTTAGCAGTAAATAATAATGGATAGTCTTACAATGGATGGTATCTTAGATCCGCCAAAATTTTGTAAACGTGTGCCATTTTTCATATAACAGCACAATACCTGGTGCTTGGCCTTCACAAAAGAGTTGCTCTTACAATTTAAGAGCGATCTCTTAGTCTCATTGGACCCTTAGCAAATTGCTGTACGATATGTCATCAATGGTCTTGATAACAGTCCTGCAAAGACTCCTAACTTCACAGCTGGGGAAACCAAGGGCCAGAGAAAAGGAAAGTTCTGCCCAAGGTCATAGAGCTGATGGTGAAGAGCCTCAACCGTAGAGCCCAGATTTCTCCAGGAATTTTAGAGCTGGAAGCAAGCTTGGGCAGCCAGCGCCCTCCCCTGTTACAGAAGTGGGACTTGATGGTAGGGGTGGAGGTTAAGTGACTTGCCCAAAGTCACACTTCGGGGTACATAAGAGTCAGGACAGGAAGGACCCTCACAGAGAAACGAATCCGGTGCCCCCGTAATATCCTAGCTAATTATCAGAGTTAGCCTAGAGACGGGGGGGTGGAGAGGGAGAGAGGTAGGTAGGTGTGTGTGTAGACACATGTATGTATACACACACATATATTTTTTAAAACGATTTTTTTTTAAACTATCGATTCTCTAGGCCAGCCCTGCTCTACTGAACCTAGCTCTAGAGGGGCCTGGTAATGTGAAAGAGTCACGTCTCTGGCCTGGGTTAGAGTCTAAAGACTCTGCGGTGAAAATTCCCCCCGAGAAGTCCCCTATATGACCTATAAAGTACAGTACACAGGCTCAACAGCCCACTTCTCCTTCACAGAGAGAGTTGGTCCCTTTTTCTTCAACTGAGCACCAGATGAAGTGGATGGATTGAATTTATGGGCAATATTGAAAAAAAAAATACATGTCTTTGCGTACTTGGAACACTCTCAGTCCTGCCACTTTGCCAGGTCTGTGTAGTTGAATTCCAACACGTTAAAGGAATATGTGATGTGACTCTGCTAGCAAGGAGTTTGGCACGCCTTTGAAAAAGTTTCCTACAATTACTGTGAACACCCACTAATTTGAGGGGCAGGTAGCCAGCCCAGTGGAGTACTGAACTTGGACGTTCTTGGGAATCACCCGAGGGTCTTGTTAAAGTACAGAATCTGATTCATTCGGCCTGGAGAGCTCTGGAAATGCTCGCTGTTCTAACAAGCCTCTGCCGCTGGTCCATGGACCCCACTTTGAGTAACAAGGCTCTGTGTAATGAGTCCGGACCCCGGCTATAACTCTACCAAGGGGATAGGGGTGGACAGAAGGAGGAAAGCTAGAAGGCTGGGCACTGAGTGAAGTCAGAGGCACTCACCCGGGCAGATGCTGCCTCTGAGGTCCTCCAGCAGGTGCGTCATGGTGCCAAAGTCGGGAGAGTAGGACACGTGCAGCTCCGCGGGCTCGGAGGCGATCTGGCGCAGCTCCTCTTCCACTGCCTTGCCCACGCCCACGGCGTACATGACAATGCCTACAAGGCAGGGCGCGGGGACACAGGGGGCGCCCCAGACCTCAGTTAAGACCCCCTCCGGCGTCCAACCCAACCCCAGGCCAGTGCGTCCCGCGCCAAGCCCACCTTCCTCCTTGGCGCGCGCGGCCCACACCGAGACGTCATCCTGGGAGCGGCCGTCGGTGAAGACCAGGCCCACGCGAGGCACGTTGAGGGTGCGGGGCCGTGCGCCTTGCGCCTCGGAGAAGCTGTGCTCCACCATGTGGCGCAGCGCCAGCCCTGTCATGGTACCGCGCTCCATGTATTCCACGGCCAGGACCGCCTGCTTGACCTCGGCCGCCGTGCCGTAGCGGCCCAGCGGGAACTCGGTGCGCACGCGGCTCGAGAACTGCACCAGCCCCACGCGGGTGCCCTCGGGGGACACGTCCAGGAAGTCCACAATCTGATTCACAAAGCGCTTCACCAGCTCGAAATTCTGCGGGCGCACGCTCTTGGAGCCATCGACGAGCAGAACCAGGTCCACGTGGCCTTCCCGGCATCCTGCAGAGTGAGGAGAGCTTAGATTGGGAGCCAGATCCTGGCCTGGCAGCAACCATCTCCCCACTGGGTCATTCACATTTATTACACAAGAGGTACCGTGTGTGTGTCTGTCTGTGTGTGTGTGTGTGTGTGTGTGTGTGTAGTCCTTCCTGTGCCAGGCACTGTACTAGATAATAATAGTAATATTAATAAATTAATAAAACTTTATGACAATAATAAATTTATCAACAATAATATATATTGAAAAAGTATATGTTGCTAATATATAAACAATCACAATAATAAATAAAAACAAAAACATTATTATTTGACAGCTTACCATGTGCCAGGTCCTGGGCTAGGTGCTTCATATATTTTTTCTCAATCCTCCCAATAATCTTGCGTGGTATCCCCAGTTCATATAACCTTAGGTTCTGAAGCATAAGGTAATTTGCTCCAGACTCCACAGCTCGTAGTGGCTGAGCAGGATTTGAAGCCAGGTCTGTCTGACCCCAAAACCCATGCTCCTGAATCACTCTACAATGTTACCTCCTCTGTTCTGAATCAGGGACTTCGCTAGGCCCTGAAGGGGGTTCAACAATAAATGAACAACCTTGACCCTAAGGAAATCAGGACAGAACAGAGCAGTCAGACATGCCCTATGCTGCAGCCAAGGAAAGTGCTCGAATAGAGGGGCATGTAAGGAGCCCAAGGTAGGAATAATTCACTCTTCCTGGAGTAGGCAAGGAAGGTTACATGGAGGTGGTAGTAACATTTGATGTTCCCCGAGGATGAGCAGGTGTGCTAGCAGACCTGCTGACGGGGTTGGCTGAGATGAGGTGAGGCAGTGGTTTCAAAATTTTGACCACACCCCACAGTAATGATAATAATACAAAAGGACACACTTGAATTTTGAATTTCATGAAACAATACTTACTCTTTCCACATGCAGTAAGCTCTATTTTCTCCTTTTTTTAAAAAAAGAAAAACTAATTTGATTTCATTATCCACTAATGTGGCTGCACCCACCATCTGAAAAACTCAAGGTGTAAAGCATCTGAGCTCAGGGGTAAGCACAGGCAAGCCCAGAAGACTCTCGAGGGAGGGAGAAATAGGATCAAATGTGTACTTTTGACATTAACCTTGGCAGCAGGGTAGAGGATTAAAGGGGAAAGAGATGGAGGCAGGACACAGCACGCCCTCCACTCCTCACCCCACCATCACCAACACACACACATTCACAGCGTACCCTTGGGCCACAGCAAGGGCAGAATCGAGGATGCTCAGAGTGTGGGCAGTGGGGCAGGGGCAGACAGAACACCCTCCCAGCCGTCACTCACGGTTGCAGCTCTTGCCATCTGCTTGGAGTTGCTGGCCCTCAGGGCACAGACAGTGGTAAGAGAGGCCCTCACTCACACACTGGAACTCACATCCATGGTCTACACCATTGCAAAGGTCCCGGGCTTCAAGGAGAGACAAGTCAGGATGAGTCAGGGTGGACTCCCCCAGCCAAGATCCCTTGCCCCTCTGCACAAATACAGGAGACCCCTCCTTACCCTCACAGCTCTTCCCATCGGGCAGCAAGTCGTGGCCCTCTCTGCAGTGGCACCGTGGCCCAGCAAAGGTGCTAACACACTCGTGCTGGCAGCTGTGGTTCCCAAAGCTGCAGTGGTCAATGGCTGGTGGGAAGGAAGAGAGAGAGCAAAGGTATAGCTTCTGACTGGAGCCATCAGGGACCTCAGTCCAGGATGCTAGTGGTAGGGTGCTCACCCCTGCAGCTTCTCTGGTCCTGCTGGAGTACAAAGCCAGCTCGGCAGCGACAGAAATAGGAGCCTGGGGAGCTGATGCAGTGGTGCTCACAGTCTTGGGTCCCTTGAGTGCACAGGTCAATGACTGAGGAAGAGGTGAGGTCAGCATATGCCCTGGGTGGGGCTGCACTTCTCAGCCCCAACAGAACAATCATCTGAGGAGCTTTTTAAAAATACCTATGCCTGGGCCCCAACCCCTCAAGATCCTGACTGGGTGACCCAGGCGTCTCTGATTTCTACAAGCACAGGCCTCCTTCCTAGTGGGCCAGGTGGCTCTCCCAACTCAAGGCCCAGCTGCATCCCAATGTGCCCGTTGCTAAGCCAGGCATAAGAACAAGAATCAACAATTGTAGAAGACAGGTTCCCTGCCCTCAAGATGCCCACTGACTTATGGAGGAGAACCAGGCTCTGCCACTACCTACTGAGCCTCTGTTTACCCATCTGCAAAATGGGAATATAATGGAAGAGTGCAATTGCTATTTATAGCTTCCTTCTAAGGAGGGTGAGCTATCGCCTGATGAGTATCTTGATGGTGTAGATGTGCAAAGACAGCCCAGAGCTGGAAAATAGGGACTGGGGAGATGCCGATTGCCCTGCACGAAAAAATGAGAATTTGGGGTTCCTAGAGAAGAGATGGGAGTGAAGAGAGGAAGAGCAAGAGAGATAGTGAGAGCATGAGTACCTGTGTGGGCTGAGGTTGCCAGTGAAAAATCACTCGTAATGGGGTGACAGGGCTTTGGGATCAGGGTATCTAATATGAAACTATTAACAGTAGGTGTTTCTTTTGTGTATGTACGTTTGACTTCACTTAGGTGTAATGCACACCTCTGGCCACCGCCATCTTTAGTAAAACGGACATATGCGTGACTTACCTATAAACACACACATGCCCTTGTGTGCCTAAGTGTGCAAACCAAGGAAGAGGCTGATTTATATGCATAGAACAAGAACAGCATGTGCGGGTTGAGAAATTGAGCGAGGACCCATAAACTGAATGAATTCAGCAGAAGCTCAGAGTGAGAGGTGACCATAGAATGGAAGCACTTGGGGAATTCCCAGAGATGTTGGGGAAAGATTCAAATGTTCAGAGGTCATCACATGAGGCTTCAAGCCAGTCTTTTCTAAGTTCTAGAAACAAGAAGACCCCAGCCGACATCTGCATTATTGGGAACACATGACTTATTTTCCCCAGTTGTCATGAGATTGAGAGATGATGTATGGAAAGCTTCAAGTGCATTGTCCAATACTAAATCAGCACTCCGAGAAGAGTAGCTGCCATCATGATCAATGGAGTGGACACACATTCACAGGAAAAAGCAAATCCCAATTGTATACGGGAGGCATAGTGTGCCATAGCTTTTCAGGAGACAAAATGAAGAACCAGGCCTTGAAGCATTTGCAGAGAGAAGCAGCAAGGGTAGCCCAGAAAGAGCTGAGATGCAGGGGCAGAAACGAGCAATGTATATAGAGGGGTAAGGAGGGGTATGGAGACCCTAACTGAAGACCCCAACAGTGAGTGTCTAAGTAACAGAAACAGTAAGAAGATATGCACGTGAGAATTCACAAACAAGTTTGGGAGGCATATTGGAGGCAGGTAGGAGACAAGCCTGAAATAAGAGAGACAATGATGTAGAAAGCACACTTAACCTTAGGGGTCAAGATTTCACCAAGGAGTTGTTTGGCTGCAGGCAATACCTTCCCTTTCTTAGACCCATAAAGTAAGGGCGCTGAACTTTTACTTCCAAAAGCCCTTCCAGACTCATTGGTCTGATGCTGGGGCAATGGGGAGCCACAAAAGACTCAGGAGCAGCGAGACTGCAGGGCGGGGGCAGCTCTCACCCAAACAGCTCTTGTTATCTGCAGCTAGCTGGTAGCCAGGGTTGCAGGCACAGTGGAACGTGCCTGGGGCGCTGACACATTGGTGCTGGCAGCCGTGTCCCCCCTCAGCACACAGGTCCTTTCCTGAGGACACACAACAGTAGAATCAGCGAGGGACGGATGGGCAGAACCCTCCAACAAGGAAAAGCTGGGTGGGGTCAGAGGCAGGCACCGAGCTCGAAGACAGCTTTAGTTGGGACAAGCCTCATTTGAGAGGGCCAATCCAGATGGAAGGGCTTAGGGAAAGAATAGGGCCTGAGTAGCTCCTATGAATAGGCTCAGCAGGGGTCACCGGGCTAGATGCGTCAATGGGATAGGGCAGGAATGCACAGGGGGTAAGGCAGAGGAGGTAGAGAGGTACTAAATCAAGGTGGGGGGGGGAATAGTTCAAGCTGTGACTAGAACAGACCTGCAGCATTGTGGGAGGAATCAAAACGAGGGTGGGCGGGGGCCATGCCCATGTGGGCAGGACATGACTCTTTCGGGTGGGCCATTGCTCTCAGCTTTGAAAGGCGGTGCTTTTTGTGTCAAGGGGCGATTTTGGAGTTTGACCTTAGGCCTTGGTAAACCACCACAACAGCTCATCCGGGTGAGCAGGCACGCTAAATGTTGCTTCTTGTGGGCGAAGCCTAAGCAAAAGTGGGCAGAGCTGCAATGTGACAGCCTGAGGCAGCCCCGCACGGCTCCACTACCTGGTGGGCGGGGCTAGCGCTAGAGTGGGCGGCGCCTCCCGGGACCGGAAGTTATTTACGTGGTGGGAAGGGGCGTCTAAGCGCCTGGGAAGTCCGCGCATCGCTCCAGCGCTCCCCTGACTCACCACACAGCCGGCCCTGGAACTGCAGGCCAAACTCCTGGATAAGATCGAAGGACTCAACGAGGAAGACGTGCTCGTCCAGCGGGGGAGACGCCATGGCCCGCAGGGAGCCCACGTCGGCGCGCTGCACCCCCACTGCGTAGATCTCTATGCCGCGGGCGCGCGCCTGCGCCGCCACCTCAGCCACACGATCCTGGGGCCGCCCGTCGGTCACGATGACAGCGATGCGCGGGACGCGCGCCTCCGGGGGGCGCGCGCCCTCGGCCACACTGAAGGCCACGTTCATGGCGTACTGGATTGCCAGCCCTGTCATGGTGCCTTGAGCTAGCGGCACCAGCGCGCGGATGGCGCGCTCCATATCCTCGCGGCGCGAGAAGGCGCCGAGCGGGAAGACGCTTTGCACTTGACTCGAGTACTGGATCACGCCGACGCGCGTGGCATTGGGCCCCACGTCCAGGCCGCGGAGGAGGCCCACCAGGAACTGCCGCATGGTCTCGAACTCAAAGGGGCGCACGCTGCGCGAACTGTCAATCACGAACACCAAATCCAGGGGCCCCGACCGACACCTGGGACCTTCGAGGAGATCAGGAGGGACTTTCCTAGATCTGCAAAACCTCATATTGGAGGAGATCCCCAGGGAAACCCAGGGCAAAATAGTGCTATCCCGGCGTTAACAGCGCCTAGCACAGAATTAACCTGACAAATGTGAGTTAGGTACATTCACTCATCCAGCATTTGCTAAGGGCCTGGGCCAGATTTCCCCCAATTCTCTATCAGCTATTAGGGCTATTCTGAGGAGGTATTCTCCAATTCGGGAGTGGGCGAAGGGATGTGTGCAAACTCAAATGTCTATAGGGGACCAGGCAGGCAACATAAATGAGTGAACTGGTTGGATTAGGTTGGTGGACACCCGTAACCCTCCTCCAGCCAAATGCTGCCATGCAGCCATGTGGACCCCAAGTTAACAGAGCCTTGGGTTTTTCAGGAGAAGTCCCAAATCGGGAATTGTATGTGAAGTCTCCTGATTTTTCAATTAACTTTTTAAAATTAAACACCAAATGGGCGTTTTTGCATGAGCCCAACTTTGTCACCTCTAAGCCACATCCTACAGATAAGGAAACTGAGTCCCAGAGAGGGGAAGCTGTGAACTAGTACCCCGCCTCTTTATGATTTCAGAGCCTTTGCTTTTTCTCTCCCCAGCAGACCTAGCTGCAGATGGAGAACCAGCTTTTGCTCCCTTCCCCCTGTTGGTGAGGGCTGAGCCCCACTCACCTGCAAACTGGAGCTGGGTTTCCCAGGGCTGGAGAAGAAACAGCAACATGGGCAGTGGCGAGCAAAGAAGGCCCCTCATGGCGCTTGGGTGGCAGGGAACGGAAGTGTCGGATCCTGGAGGGTGCAAGGAAAAAGGCAAAGCAATAATATTTACGGAACTCTTATTCTGGGTGATGGGCACTTGGAGGGGGAGAAGGATCATGGATTTCTTTTACTAATCTCTCTACCTTTGTGTATATTTGAAGTTTGTCATAATAAAAAAAGTACTGCGTTACAGTGCTGGGAAATACAAGGAATTCTACTTTGCAGAATTGCAGAATAAAAAATAAATAGAAAGTAGATTTTTAAAATATAACATTTAAAAAGAAAAAGCCCCCCTCAAAGAAAAGAAAACCAAAAATAAATGAAAAAGAAAAAATGCCTTTCTAAATACCGAGCACAGTGTTAAATGCTTTTCATGCATTCGGACATTTAATCCTCTCGGCAATTCTCGCTACCGTACAGTCCTATGCTTAAGTGGTTCCAAAGATCCGTTCCGCGCGCTCTCCTCCTGGGAGAACCTCTGCAGACGAAAGCCAGCCGTTCCCCACCTCGACCCCCTCCTCTGCTCACACAAGGCGCTTCTATGTGGCTGTCGTTCCAACACGCGCGCGCGCACGCACACACACACGCACGCACACACTCAGACATGCACCGCCCAGCCTCAGGCCGCCGAGCAGAGACGCGCCTTTTCACGGGGCTGGGGGGTTGGGGACCCTCAGCACGTAGGCCAAAACCCACCACGCAAGTTTGGCCCCCCTGTTTCCCTCCTGCTCTCAGGAGAGGCCGCCAGGGGGCGTCTTCCTGGGACTGGCTGCGTTGGTTGGGTGGCCGTGGGAAGCCCACATCTGCCTAGCAGGTGTCCCTGCCCAGAGCAAACAGTGGCCGGGAGCCCGGAGGCCTTGGAGATAAGCCCGGGGCAGGATATATCCCGCACGAGGGCCGAGGAGCAGGGGCGCACAGGGTTCCGGGGACAGCTGCATTGGATTCGCCCGGAGGGCGGTGAGTGAGGCCCGAGTGCGGCCATGGACCCTATACGGGCAACAGGTGAGCGCTCACTCTTCCACTGCCCTTGGCGACGCCCCTTGATAATTCCAAAGGATTCCCGTGTACAGATGGGAAAATTGAGGCCCGAGAAGGCTGCCCGCCGAGGTGCAAAGGAACCTGCGACTAGAACCTGGGACTCCTGGCTCCCCTTCTTCCTTCTGGGCTGCCTGGCTGCCTAGCAACCTGGCGCCTAGGAGTCACTAAACCTCTTTTCCTTACATTCACTCCCACTGCTCTGTACCCCGCTCCACCCCCGCCCCATGCTGAAGCTGCGTTAGCCATTTTTCTGTTGCTTGTTTCTTGGCGGAGGGGACCAGCTGCCCTAACCCAACCGCAGCCCCTCTCCCCCCCCCCCCAATTCCGTGAATGGGCCTATTCTGAGCAAGGTTGGCTGCCTGCAGCTCACTCACTCCAGGCGGCCTTTCCGATCCTCTCCGCCCTCGCCTTTCAGGCCTGGTGGAAGAACAAAAATCCCTCTGGCAGGGCCCGTGGTGGGAGGTTGAGTAAGCCAGATGTGTCAGCTGCCACTGGAAACTGGAGGGTGCAGAATGCCTTTCCCTAGCTTGGGCCATAGCCAGGGCCAGAACCTCTGGGGAGCATGGGGGTCAGGACAATGGGGCCTTTGCCACCTCCTGTTCTTTCCCACCTGCAGAAGCCTCTGGGCCCTCAAATCTTGATTAGGATTCCCCCTTATCCTGCTGTCGGCCTGAGGCCACGTGTCGCCTGGCACCCCACCGCCACCCCAGGAATCCTAGAGAGTCAAAATAGAGACTGCCTCAAAGTCCATCACCTTCCCAACCCTCTCGTTCCACTCAGGGATAAATAAGGTCCAGAGACTAGTGTCTTGCCCAAGGTCACACAGCAACGTGGTGACAGGTCTGACACTAGAGCCCTGAGCTCCTCTGAGGGGTTAATCCTAAAGTTAGGAAGATTCGGAAATGCCTGAGGGTGGGGAGACTGGGCTCGAAAGGCAGGAGAGGTCTGTGAATAACTGAAGAGTTGGCTGAAGAATAAACACCGTGGGGACATTCTTGGCGGTTCTTCGAGGGAGGAGATTAAGGGAAAAGTCCCCCTCCCCGTGGTGGCCTTGTTGGTGGGGGCTCAACTTGGAAAGGACCCCACAGAAGTGAAGAAGGTCACTGCAAGTCAGATGGGGGCACCGTCAGTGGTACAGCCGCGGTTAAATACGGTCGCCCGGTCAGGCTTGACGCCTGATCCCCCCGCAGACCCCTCAGCGCCCCCAGGCCCTTTGACTCACCTGAGCCTGCCGGACAGCTCGGAGGCGCGGCCGCAGAGCGGAGCCGACGGGCGGAGCCTCCCGGGCAATTGGACCAGGTAACGGCGCAGGCAGCGTGCCCGAGGTGGGGACGGCCAGACGGCTGGAGCGAGCGGAGGCGGCGGCCGCATTTAACCGGGGCTGGCGGTGGGGAGGGGGAGCGCGGGCTGCGACCCCTCCTACCGGCAGGGAGCGATCCCCTTTCCTCGGAGGGCTGGGGCGGGGCTAGCGCGGCGCCCCTGCTCCTGCCACCCCGGGAGCCGGCGGCGCGAGCTGCAGGGCCGGATTTCGGCTCCCAGCGGGAGGCTGGGCGGCTCCGCTCTCCGCCGCCGGAATGCGTCGGAAGCCTCCGAGGCCCTTCCCGGAGTAGAGCCCCGAGGGGCGGAGCGGGGCCTGGCTCCTGCCGCCGGCGGCCTGGCCCCGCTTCCGAGGGAGCGGCCGGGGTGCTGCCCTCCGCTGCCCCCTGCGGGAGTGAGGAGAGGCCCGGGACTCTGATCCTGCGCGAAAGGTGAAGGGTTCAGAAGGGCAGCCGCAGGGTTCATGGCTCCCCGGGCCCCACGTAGTGGTCCCTCAAATCTCCGCCCTCGCGGACTTCTCCGCCGGATCTCTCCGCGATTGCTCAAGTCTTGGGCCTACCCACCACCCCTCGCTCCTCAAAACTCCCAGACCGCTGGGCTCTGACTGGCCCCATCCCTGAATTGTGGAGGCCCTGTAATCAAGGGAAGAAACGTTGCGACAGGAACAGGGCCCTTCTCTTAGGAGAAAGGGGGTTAGGAGGATTGTTTTGACCCCCGAAGGGCTCAAATGTTCCCCCTGGGTTCTGGGGACACGGTTTGGGGGGTGCTTCCATGTTTCCAGGCTTCTGAGGGCAGGCAAGAGAGCACTCTGGGCCAGGGGGTCCAGCAAAACTCTTCTCCCTGGCATCAAGAGGTCACTGGGGTGCACCCCCTCAAAGTACAAGGAAACCATGCACCCTCACATAAGTCTCCATCCCAAGGCCGGCACAGTGTGGCCTTTGTGCCCCTGGGGCCTCTCCCCAGTGCTGCAGGGGGGCATGACACCAGGCCTGTGGAGTGGCGCCTGGGTGGTCCTGGTGGGCTCCGTGCAGGCCTCATTGAGTACCTGGCAGCCTAAATATTTAACCCATGACTTACACTCAAATCCCCTCTCTTGCCTAACGCTTCCCCTCCCTGACTCCGAGTGGGGCAGAACTACATTAGCCCCTTCCCCCTATGCATTTCATTCAACCGGCTTGTTGGGTTCCATGCCACCTCTCCCCTTAACAATCACTGCTGTCCAGCCGCCGGCTTGCCCCTACTCCCAGGTCCTCCCCAGAGCGCACCCCGGTGCTGAGGGAAGGCGTGCGCCAGTGCCTGCAGCAACGGTGTGAGCAGACAGTGCGGATCCTGCACGCCAAAGTGGCCCAGAAGTCCTACGGAAATGAGAAGCGGTAGGAGCCAAGCCCTTCCAAGAGGCCACCTTCCACTCTACGCTTGCCTCCCAGTTCGGTGCCTTTTAGAACCCTGGGGAGGGCTCAGGGCTCAACTCTTGGCCAATCAGGAGCCTTCTTCCTCAGCCCCCACCAGCCCCCATTTTGGAACCTCCCTGTGAATCTACAGTCCCCACTCACTCACTCATCCACCCATTGATTCCTTCTTTCATTCAACAACTACTTAGTGGGCGTTTAGCAGGTGCCAGGCTCTCTGGACAGTGCAGGGCCCTGGGCATACAGCTCCAGAAGCCAGATACAGCCCCTCCTCTCAAGGCATCTTCACTGTAGTGGGGAAGAGACAGACCACAAAGTCCCCTCAGTGAACAATATCCTTCCAGATGGAGAGAAGAGCTAGAAGAGTGATAGAACAGCATAATGTAGCAGATACTGAAGTGGGGGCACGTTAGCTAGACAGGTCACGATGGTGGACAGGCCTTTTAAGGAGGTGACATCTGAACTGAAAGAGAAGTCAGACAGGAGAAAATCCAGGAAAGGTGTGTTCCAATTAGAAAGAAAAAATGCACACACCTTGAGGCTGTATGAGCTTGGCCTGTCCTGGTACAAAAGAAGTCAGAGGGGCTGGAATTAGGAAAGGAGAGGGACGTTGCAGGGAATAAAGTCGGAGAGGTAAAGCAGGGGTGCATCAGGTGAGGACTTCGGATTTAAACCACCGAAGGATTTTAGGAAGACAAGTTAACATGATCAACTCGTGCTTTTTAAAGAAAGGAGAAGACAGTGTGACTGCTTTGTGCAAAGCAGGTTGGGCGGGGGCGGGGGTGGAAGCAGAGAGAGCCGTGGGAAGGCTGATGCTGTGGTCCAGGCAAAAGTGATGGCAGTTGGGATTAAGGTGGAGGTGGTAAGAAACCCGTGGATTCTGGATGTGTTTTGAATGTGGAGGAGACAGGATTGATTAACGGGTTGAGTGAAAGCAGTGATAAAAGAAGGTTCAGATGTTAATGGGGTCCACAGTCATGGAGAAGCCCCAGGAGGGCGGTGGGAAAGGTGGAGGAGCAATCAGGGACTCTGCCCCATTTATGCTGCCTTTGAGATGTCTAAGGGACGGTCAAGTGGAGATGGACGTGCGAGTCCCGCGCTTGCTTGCATGTCTCCGCAGGTTCTTCTGCCCCCCGCCCTGTGTCTACCTCGCAGGTCCCGGCTGGAGGGTGAAGCCAGTGCAGGGCCAAGGTGAGGGCGGACTCCTGGGCTGCCGTGCGCCTCCCTAGGCCAGGGGACCGCACAGTGGGCCTGGGAGCCGGGCCGGTCGCAGGCGCAGTCTCGCCGCGCCCTCTGGCGGCCAGAACTCAGCCTGCCTGCCGCCTGAGTCCTTCCTGAGCCCGCTCGCGTCGCTTTCCAGCCCACCAGCCCGGGGAAACCGGGCCCACGGTCTGCGGTTACATGGGACTGGACCGCGCGTCCGGCAGCGCCGCCGAGACGCAAAAGTTGAATTTTGAAGAGCAGCCGGACTCCAGGGTGAGAGCGCACGGGACACGGTCCGATTCTTGCTCCCATCCTTGCCCCTCCCTTGGCGAGGAGGGCTCCTGCACACACACCCCCACCCCCGAAGACGCCAAGAGATAGGTAGAGAGGCGGGGGAGACCGGGGTTCTGCCTCGAGGGTGAGCCCGGGAGCTGGGGTCGTGCTGCTTCACGTCACGTCTGATGAGGCAGACGTCAAAGACCTGGTGGCGCAGGGCTGGGATGAGACGGCCCCGCGCCCGCGTACCCCGTAGGAATTCGGTTGCGCCAAGACCCTGTACATCTCGGACGCAGACAAGAGAAAGCACTTTCGGCTGGTGCTGCGGCTGGTGCACCGAGGGGGCCGAGAGCTGGGCACCTTCCACAGCCGCCTCATCAAGGTCATCTCGAAGCCCTCGCAGAAGAAGCAGTCGCTGAAAAACACCGACCGTGAGCCGGGCGGGGCGTGAGCTCCGGGCGGGGCGGGGACGCGCCACCTGGTGTGGAGCGGCGGAACTGGGGAGGGCGGAGGCCTAGACTGGAGGGGTGGGGCCAGAGTGGAGAGGTGGAGTCTGAGTCGAGAGAGGGGTGGGGTCTGGGGGAGCGAGTGCGGCTGAGGTCCGAGAATGAGAAACTAGAGAAGCAAGCGCAGAGAGGAAAGGGGACCGACCTCACACTCTGGGAAAGGGGGCGGGAGGGGGCGTCCAGAGCAGACAAAAATGGCCGGCAGGTGCTGAGCTAAAGACAAATTAAAAGTGATGGAAATTTAGTCAAAAATACCTATTCAGTGCCTGATGTAGGCCTGGCTCTGTGCAGGACGCCGGGTCCCTGTAAAGTAAGGACAAGTGTCTGTTCTGGAGGAACCCACAGCCTAGCTTGGGAGAAAGACACACATCGCTTATCAAAGAGACAGTTTGAAATAAATACTGCCCTGGGTGCCAAGTGACAAATCCCAGGGCTGGGGGCTTTGAGAAGGGGGGGGCGGGGGGGGACGGGGCAGGGCCTGAATAACAGTGAGGACACCACCACTACCCTGGCAGGGAGGTGGGGGAAGACCTAGGGGAAGGTGGAGCTTTCCTGGCCAACATGAACACGAATCATCCTATTTGATGTTCATCAGGTCCCTCTGAAGTGGGATCAGTGTCAAGCCCTAGAAATATCACTCTGAAGTGGGTACTATCATTGTTCATATGTCAGGGATGAGGAAAATGAGGTCTGGAATATTCACCCATTCATTTAATGAACTATTGGGGCCTATCACAATCCAGATGACTTGGCTAAGACTGTCCAGCTAGGAAGAGACCCAGCCAGAATTTGAACTTGAGTCAGTGTGCCTCCAGAGCCCAGGTCCTACCCCTACATCATATTTACCTTCTGTCTGTTAAAAACCCCGTAGAACGTCTCAGACCGAGGCAGTACTCTGTCTGGCCCTTGGCATCAGGTAAGTGCTAGAATGTGATGGTTAGGAGTGCAGATTCTGAAGCCAGGTGGCCGGAGTTTGAATCCTGACTCACCAGCCTTGAGATGTGGAGCAAGTTGCTCTCTTAAATAGAGATAATATCTGCTCCAGAGCACTGTTGAGAGAATCAAATGAGCTAACACATATGAAGCATTTAAAACCGTACCTGACACACAACAAATGTTAGCTGTCATCATTATCCAATGGATGGGAACTTGGACTAAGTATAAATTGAGCACCTACAGTATGCCTAGTCCTGGAAGGGGAGAGAGGGAGATGACCCAGTGCTTTCTCCCCAGGTGGTCAAAGCTCAGTCAGGAAACAAAACCATGGCTCTGAGTATGTGTGATAAGCTGGAAGAGATCAGTGTCAAGCCCTAGAAATATCACACTGTTGTTTCACACCACATGGTCTTTGCTTATGCAGGCCTTGAGCAACTCGTACCTACCCCCTGCTCCCCAGCTGAGAATATAACCTCCTCCAGGAAGCCCTCCTTCACCCAGACCTTACCACATCATTTTGAAATTTTATATTTATGTCCTTCCTCTCTGAGAATGTGAACTCCTCCAGAGCAAAACTGGGTCTGATTCACCCTTTGGTGCCCAGTACCCAGCACAGTGCCTGCCCAAAA